ATAAGGAGACTGAGGCTCTGAGGCTGAAGGCATGAGAAAAAGGGGGGAGAAAAGGAGGGATGGAAAGAAGAAAGAGGAGAGAGGAGAAGGAGGTTTTCATCAGTGCCATTTGGTAGTGCTTATTTAAGCTCTCTCATATAGACTGAACTTTGTGTTGCCAGTTCTGGCTCACACAGTAGGCAGAGGAAGCACATTCTGAAGCACCAACAAAACCAGAAAGATCCCACCCCCAAAATAAGGAAAAGAAAAGAAACTTCCCTAAGAACAGTATTTTGGGTTTTGGGTTGCAGAGATAGCTTAGCAGTTAAGAGCACTTGCTGCCTTTGAGAAGGACCAGAGTTTGTTTGCAGCACCAACCACCTAAGACAGCTCACAGCTGTATCAGGGGATCCAATGCCTCTCTTCTGACCTTTTCAGGTATGTACACACACACACACCACGTTTTCATTTGTTTACTTACTTTTGGTTTTTCAAGACTGGTTTTCTTTGTAGCCCTGGGTGTCCTAGAACTAATTCTGTAGACCAGACTGGCCTTTAACTCACAGAGACCCACCTGCCACCACAGCCCAGCCATGTAGGTTTTGTTGTTTTGTTTTTATATCCCCAAAAAAGTTTCCCCTCCCTCCTCTCCTACCAGTTCTTCCCCCCCAACACCTCCTCCCCTACTCTTCCTCCTCTGTTTCTCTTTAGACACTGGAGGCCCCCCCCATGGCTATCAGCCAGCCATGGTATATCAATTGCAGTGAGACTAGGCACCTCCTCTTCTATTAAGGCTGGATGAGGCAGTCTGGTAGGAGGAAAGGGTCCCAAAAGCAGACAACAGAGTCAGAAACAGCCTCTGCTCCCACTATTAGGAGTCTCACATGAAGAGCAAGCTACACAACTGTAGCATGCACAGAGGACCTAGGTCAGTTCCATGCAGGCTCCCTGGCTGTCAGTTCAGTCTCTGTGAGCCCCTGTGAGCCCAAGTTAGTTGATTCTGTGGGTCTTCTTGTGGTGTCCTTTACCCAACTGGCTCCTACAATATTCATTCCCCCTCTTCCAGAGCTCCACCTGATGACACCTCTCTGATGACAGTTGGACTAGGCACCAATCTATGAGTATAGCAGAATATCATTAGGAATCATTTCAGGAATCATTTTTTTCTATCCTGGGTAACCCACCTCTGAGTGCTGGTCCTCAAGAATGAGCTGCCTTATGGTAGGCCCCATAATTTTTTTATTTAAATTTTTTTCATTTTACAGACCAACTCCCATTCTCCCTTTCTCCCCTTCTTCCACCCCCACTCTCCCCATCTCACCCCCCCCACATCCACTCCTCAGAGGGGTTAAGGCCTCCCTTGGGGAGCCAACAATGTCTGGCATACTAAGTTGAGGCATGACCAAGCCACTTCCCCCTATATCACACGTAAGCTTTTTTTTTTTAACCAAATCTAAAAAGTTAGTGCTCTAAGAAGAACAACTGAAGTCATAGGAAAAGTGGAACTTCATTGAACTGCTTATTTATTTAGAGACAGTGTATCCCTACATAGATGTACCAGGCTAGCCTCCAACTCAGAGACAGGCTTGCCCTGGCCTCCCAACTGCTAAGATTAAAGTCGTGGGTTGCTTTTACTCTTTTTTAAAATATCTGATTTTATGTGCATTGGTATGAGGGTGTCAGATCCCTGGAACTGGAGTAACAGTTCTGAGCTGCCATGTGAGTCCTGGGAATTGAACTCAGATCCTCCAGAAGAATAGCCAATGCTCTTAACCATTGAGCCATCTCTCCGGCCCGCTTTTATGCTTATTTTCAGGTACTGTATCATTTTTATATTTATTTACATATTACCTGTAGGTGATGAGACATTAAATCTTCTTTCTTAGGGCCTCCAGAAACTGAATACAACAAGGTACCTTGTTGAAAACTTAGAGTCCAGTTGTACCAGGCTGATTTGAGATTACAAGTACTAAGCGAGTTGTAGGCTAGCCTGGATAAAAGCACCCTAAATCATGATTTTTCTTTACTCAGTTATTCAGCAAAGATAATTTATTTGATGAAAGTCAGAACACATGTACACCCACTTTTTACAGAATGCATACAATTTTATTCTTTTCAATTACCATATTTTCCCCTAGCAAGATGCCATTAAATCCTAGAAGGCAACATTTGTAAATTGGATTAGTGCCAGTTATCACTTTAACAGTGCCAGTGTCCTATCACAACTTCCAGGTGAACTAAAAGCTCACAGTTCCCAGAATGACTGAGTGTGCCTATAGTATACATAGAATCCTAATACAGTATACATAGAATCCTAATACGGTATACATAGAATCTTAAATATTATGTTAAAATGTTTGTTTCTTAAGTTCATATCTTTTGTTATTGTTACTTGATTCACAATATTCAGCTTTAGTCACTACCTTTAGAAAATAGCTCTGATTTTTTTTCCTTAACAATTCAAAGAAACACTGCCAAATTCTTGCTAGTTTAAACTTTCCCTAACAGCCAACCTGCTTCGAGATGATTATCCAGATGTCTCTGGGTTGTTTGCAATACTTCCACTTTACCCCATGTAACTGGGTACAGATGTTGCTTGAGGATATAGGTGCCATGGCTGGTTCTAATTAGACAACTTGTCATTTTTACTTGGTTTCATTTTGATCATTGGATGCATCATACAAGCATGCTGGTTTGTTTGTTTGTTTGCATAAAAGTATAGAAGGCAATAATCTCATACACCTAAAAGAGGATGTCAAAAGAAAATGGATGCAGGATGCGAAATAAATGAATGATATGGACAGGCTAGTCCTTTTACACTTAGACCACTATCCCCATCTCCACATAGAAACAACCAAGCCTCTATCCAGTGAAAGAAATTCCACAACAAAGACATAGCCTTGTTAGAAACATTTCTAACAGGGTAAATTTTGTTTAAAATTAATCGCATTTCTCCCTTCCCCTCAAGAACAAAAGTCACATTTTCTAGACCCTGGAGCTTTAAAGCTTCCAAGTTCATTATGATTTCCTGTAACAAACTTCTCGTCCTCATACAACTCAGTCTACAAGACTTCTCTGCTGTCTGGTGCTGTCAGTCGAGTCGTCTCTGCAGCCCTGGCAATGACCTGACAGGTGGCCAGGCCTGTGGTGGAGCAAAGGAGTCCAGCAAGAGCGCGCTCCCTGAGGAGGCGGCAGCCTCAGGCCAGGCCTCTCGAACTCGGCGAGCCTGGTCCAGGAGCGCGGAGGCGGTGGAGCCGCCCGGCTCCAGCTGAGCAGCCTCCGGGAGCGCCCAAACGCTCTCTGCCAGCAGCAGGGCCGCCGAGCTCCTAGGGCCTCAGCCCTCGCCAGGTTATCTCCACCCGGGTCCCGCCCGGTAGGGCTCGGCGTCGCGGACTGCAGCCAGCCAGCCCCAGGCCAGCAGGCCGGTCCGGGCAGCCCCGATCCCGCTTCCGCTGGGGCGGCCCGCAGGGCCGACAGCCAGGAGTTCCGCGGCGGAACGGCTACCCCAGGCCCAGCGCGGGCCGAGAAGAGCGCCGGGCCGCGGGGGCGGAGCGAGCGCGCCGCGGGCCACTGCGCCGCCAGGGCGGAGGGCGGGGCGTGGGCGGCGCCCGGCCTTCCCGCTCCCGCGGCGCGCTAACTCGGCGGAGCCTCCTTAAAACTCTGCCGTTAAAATGGGGGCGGGTTTTTCAACTCAAAAAGCGCTCAATTTTTTTCTTTTCAAAAAAAGCTGATGAGGTCGGAAAAAAGGGATAAGAAACCGGCACCGTCTCTGCAGAGGCAACCGAAGTAGCAGTTGCTTCCGCGGAAAAAGAAGCAAAGGAGGGAGGGAAGGGAAAGATCCTGAAGGGGAAAGACGCGCAAGTGCCTGCAGCGGTGAAAGGAGCTGCGATCAGAGATTTTGGGGAGTCGGACTACAAAAGAAACTGTCAGCCGCGGCTCGCGAGGGACCGGCGCTGCCTGGCTCGGTTCGGGGACCCAGCTGGCTGGCAGCCACTACCCTGTCCTCTGCACAGACTAGGGGCACAGGCCGGAGGACCGCGAAGAACTGGCCAAGTGGCAAAAGGCGCCCGAGCTGCTGGGCGGACGCCAACAAATCGGCGGGACTGGCTGCGCCCTGGAACTGTGGCGACCGCCCGTGCTTCAAAGGACCCTTCCCATCACCGGAGGCCCCCCGGAAAATCGGAAAGGAGGGAAAGACCGCTGCAGAAACGACAGCCGCCTCTCAGAGCTTGCAATGCAGAGCCTGAATTAGCTCGGTCGTAGGCGGGAAGTTACTGGCGAGCTGGCCCAGTGCAGCCGCGATGCAACGGCGAGCTGCCTCAGCGACCGGAGCGCGGTAGACTCGTCCTTCGTCGCCCTCCTCCTCCCTCAGGCAGCCGGGAGTCCCGGGACCCGGCGGGACCGGCATGACGGGCTTGGCGGGGGTCTGCCGCGCGCCCACCAGCCTCCGGAGACCTGCGCCCTGCCCGGCTCCCACGGCCTCTGAGGCTCGGCGGGGCTGCGGCTGCGGGCTCCGGGGGCTCTTCTGAAGACGCCGAGCCCACTGGGAAGTCATTGAGACCCGAGAGTTGAGGGTCACGGAACTGCTGCTCCGGTCTGCCTTCGGCGATCATCTTTAACCCCCCCTCCAGCACGTCAGCATCCAGCCACCGCGGCGCTCTCCTAGCGAGCAACACTCTGGACTACCCCCTTCGGCGAGACGGATGGAAAGCGAGCCCTGCGGAGGACTTGTCCCTGAAGTTCTGCCTCAAGTCACCATTGTAAACAAGGGTGGGTTAATGCCTTTTCTTCTCTCCAATACTTTTTCTCCCGCAGTGTTTTCTGAGTTGACCTAGTCTCTCTGAGTCTCCGCACATCTTCCTCACAGAACTGTGAAAGCTTAGGTGCGTGACAGCTCTGCCTGCATCTCCCGTCCCAGAGTAATTAATCAAGAATGCCTGTGTGTCTGTATGAGTCTCTGTTGAATCGCCAGAATCCTTCTTAGGGGTTAAGCTAAAAAGCTAGGAGAAGAGCCCCTCTCCAATGGGCTCAGTTTTGCTGAATAATCACGTGTGAATCAAGGGGCGGGCTTTTGGCAGGCCGATCTTACTAGTATTTACTACCAAGCTCTACTCCAGATTAACCATCCCAGTCCTTCTGTCAGCCTCTGATGCCATCATGCAGCCTGATTAGGAGCAAAGGAAAGGGGGAAAGGAGAAGCAACTAATCGTCTTTTCCCGATCGTCAGGACCCTAAAGAATGGCCGAGCCTTGGGGGAACGAGTTGGCGTCCGCAGCTGCCAGGGGGGACCTAGAGCAACTTACTAGTTTGTTGCAAAATAATGTAAACGTCAACGCTCAAAATGGATTTGGGAGAACTGCGCTGCAGGTTGGTATCCACAGAGGTGGGAAGAGCAAGTTAATAAGGTTGCTTGGGCTTCCAAAATGACAGCTTTTAGGTTTTGAGGGGTACAAATCTTCACGGTTTTAAAACCTACTTGGTTGCCATATTTTATATCTTTAATTGGATCCAACTCCCCAAAATGACGTACTTTGGAGAAACTCGCCAAATCCAATAACATCCTCGATATCAAGAGAATCCTAGGTTTGGTCATAATTTTTAGAATGTTTTTGTGACAGTGGAGATTTTAAAATAGTCTTAGCGTCGAAATCTGTTTGTTTTTGCTGTGTTGTTTAGATAGCTTTTTAAGCACATTATTATGATTATTATTTGAAGTAAATACACAGCTAATAGTGGTTTTCACCTATTTTATTCCCAATAATTGACTTTAAAGTTAATTCCCTTGGCTACTAGGAAGGGTGTTTTCCCTTAAGTTGTTTCATGTTTTAACAAACGACCTTTCCTCGTTTGGAATGGGATAGCCTGGGCACCAGGACAGGATGTACATTTTACAGTTAATGTAATACCTAATTCACCCCCTTCAGGTTGAGGAGAAATACAAAGTTAAAATTTCTAATCAGAGCTGAGCAGTAATATTTTTATTATCCCCGTGGTCATGCAGTGGTATGTTCTAATTCTCAGTAATTAGATTTACAGGCAACAAATGACACATGTCCAGCTGCCAAGTATGTACCTGATAATATTTTTTTCCTTCTCCAAATGTTATCATGTAACGTTGCTGGAAGGCTTAGAAACAAAGAAAGGGAAAAGTGATCTCTCTCTCTCTATTAGTTGCTTTTATTGGTGTTCTGATGGTACTCCTGGGAGCTTTCCCTATCCACAGCAGCTTTTGAAAACCCACAGTGGAAGCTCACACGGTCTGGTCTGTATATTTCAAATAAGAATACAGCTGGCCTTGCAAAATTTTCTCTCCTGAGGACTCATGCAGAGGTATTAAAATATTTATCCTGATTCAGGTAGATTAAATAAGAAAAGGGTTTTGCTTTTGTTTTACCATCTGATATTTTTGTACTGGTTTGGTGATGATAGCAATGCCACAAACTACAGACACTGAAAGGTTTTCTATTGAAAAGACAAAAGTTAGGTCAGTTTCACAAAGTCTGAGCCACTTTATCTATGCCCCCCCAAAAAAGATTTACAAACAGGACAATTGGGTAACTAATAAGGTAATTGGATTTTGACATAAAAAAGCTAGCCATTTTTGTTCATATTAACAATCTTAGATAATACCCACTTATTATACCTTCATAGTAGCAAATATAATGAAGCAGACATGCATAAATAGGAGTCTTTTTCAGGATGCATAATCTTGACTCTGAAATTTTATCATCAGAAAGAACTTTCTTCAAAATCATTTGCGATATTACTATTACTTTGTGCCCAAGATGGCAAATTTTAATCTGTGATTTTGTTTCTTACTCAATTGCTGTTGTTTTCAAGGACAATAGTCCAAGACTTTCATCGTGTATTTGCTTTACAAAGATCTAAGGTGTCTATTTAGTGTTTAGTTCACTTTAACTCTTTAAATGTGACTAAGGTTCTAGGGACATATGGCAAAAAATAAAATTAGACTGTATTCATTTTCAGTAACCAGAAATATATTCTATAGAGGCTCTGGAAAAATTAATTTGCGGTCATTTTTCTACTGCCCTAAATGAAGGGGTGAAAGGGTTTTATTAAAGTGGTAACTTAATATTATGACAAAGTGAGTAATTTTGCATTTTAAAATATTATTCATTCTGAATATGTTTTATGAATTTGTCATTCTCTTAAAAACATTTTAAAGAGATTAAATCAACTGTACATATTTTCAAATATATTACTTTTGAATAATATTTTGTGTCTACTAAGTAGCTCACTTATATTATTACATAACTTAGAGTCTTATGAATATACTTAAATACAAGTGAAACCAGTTCAAATGCTGGAATTTTCTGGCATGTTAATAAGAATATTTTTTCATAAGTAAATGATATACATATTATAATCTTTATAATCCCAAGTGCTGTTAGATACATACTTTTACTTCTGAGAGATCTTTAACAGACATCTTAAAACATAATACATTTAAACAACAGTAAATAAGTTTTTGTAGTATAAAATATTTTGTGCCTTGACAGCAAGTACTGATACTATTCTGGCTTTCAAAACATTGGCACTTTACAAACAGCTCTCCTTAAATATTATGAGAGCAAACGGAAACTAGACAGGACCACCAGTTGATTATTAAATGACTCAAACCACAAGATAGGCTGTCTGTTCCAACATACACATTCAATATCTTACTTTTACTTTTGCTCACGAGTATCAGAAGCCAGTTAGAATTTTGAGAAATACTAACTAATATAGTAGGATGACTATTTTATTCTTTTCAAAAATGGTAGCCAAACAGTCACTTCCTCTCTAACACGAGACACATATCAACTTAGTTTGAAGTGAATTGACATAATAAGTATTGTAGAACACAGTGGCTAAATCAACACCTTAATAACTCAGTAATATTTGATAATTTGAAATGAATTCTAATCATGGAATGTTTCTAGTAGCCAATATTTATAACCTATAAAGAAAAATTTTAATGCTTGAAATTTTCAGGCAATATCTATTTGAAAAGAACTTGTAAAACTAATCATTTTAGAAAATATCAACTTTGAGATTTTAAAGGATCAGTTCTTCATTAAATGACATGTGTCTGAGAGTTTGAAGAAACCACCATCATTTGTTTTCAGTAGCTACTAGAAAAAAAAATTACCCTCATTCAATCTTCCAGAATTATATTTTATGAGCATGAATAATACCAAGTCACATTTCTTTTATTTTAGGGAATTTATGAAGAAATAAAAAGCAAAACCTACACAGGTCTTCTTAAAAAATAAAGAGCTAAATTGGTCATCATATTAGATAAAGAACCAAATTAGCCATCAACTTTATTCATGTTACAGAAATTCTATTTTTTATTGATCAATTTATCTTACATCTGGGCTTATTTAGGATATTCAACAAGATCAATTTTTGCAATTTTGCTTTTTTTTTTTATCAACTGCTACGCAGCCCTTTTAACTCTATAGTATCTGTCTTCTTCAAGTACTGAATCAAAAATAATGATCTGAAAAGGACAGATAGATGTCTTTTAGAAATTGCCATACTGGCAGTAAAACACTGGAGGGATTCTCCCATCTTTAACTTCTTTCCTAGGTTATGAAACTTGGAAATCCAGAGATTGCCAGGAGACTTCTACTCAGAGGTGCTAATCCCAATCTGAAAGACCGAACTGGTTTCGCTGTCATTCATGATGCAGCCAGAGCAGGTTTCCTGGACACAGTTCAGGCTTTGCTGGAGTTTCAAGCTGATGTTAACATCGAAGATAATGAAGGGAACCTGCCCTTGCACTTGGCTGCCAAAGAAGGCCACCTCCCTGTGGTGGAGTTCCTTGTGAAGCACACAGCCAGCAATGTGGGGCATCGGAATCACAAGGGGGACACAGCCTTCGACTTGGCCAGGTTCTATGGAAGAAATGAGGTCATTAGCCTGATGGAGGCAAATGGGGTGGGGGGAGCCACAAATCTACAGTGAGTGTCTGGAAGGGCCTTTCCACATTGCCTTTATTTTGTCAGTTAGTTGGTTGGCTGTCCTGACTGGCTTGCTATCACTTGTTAAAATATAAGTTTTTATTTTGTTTCTTATTTTAAGCAGCTAGTTAAATCCTTTGAAACTGTCTAATTGGAAATCTCACTACAAGTTTATGAAATATTTAAACATCCTTTTCACTGTCAAAATTCTGATTTCTAACATGTAATTGCAAATAGCTATGCCTTTCTTCTGAATATTTTATCTGTGATTTTATTTTCTTTGCTTAGCCTTTGCCACTCTCAGAATCTGACCTGAAGACTTTGTTTAAAAAAATTCTTTGTCCTGATGCATCTTTTGCCTAATTAAAACACTTTTTCAGAAAGAGGATCAGACTTTCCTGTGATTTTTTTTTTTACTCCTCTGCAACTTATATACAACTTGTCATTTTGCAAGAAATGTGTTAAAAACTCGTAACACTGTATTAACATTAGAAAAGAACACATTGGAAATCCAGTTATATTGTGGTTACAGTGGAGTTATTCCTTTGTTTCCTTCCACTTACTCCCTCCCAAAGATTTCATTGGCTAGCTCTGTTTTTATTAATGTTTTGGCTTCAAAAAGGAATATGAACAGCATTTTTGAAGAACAGACTTGAAATTTTTTCATTGTGAATTCCTTGTAATGCCCAATCTTTCCTTTTTCTCAAAATTGAGTCAAGCAGCTGAAAGGTAGACTCTAGAAGCAGCAATCTGAAAACAAACATCAGCTCTAAGAAGTCTGTGCTAAAAGCAAACAGCACTGTGGGAGTACTTCTCATAGGATGACTTTAAAATCAAAACCTGAAACAGTTGCTTAATGTATTTCTCAGGCTTGTGCCACAAGTAAGCCAACACAACACTGACCTTGCCCCATGAATGTCAAAAATGCAAAACTACAAGATGTTTAAGTAGTAAAATACAAATGTCAATGTTCATGATGGGAGACTAAAAAAAAAAAACAAAACAAAAACAAAAACAAAAAAAAAAACAAAACAAAAAATAAAAAAACAAAACAACAACAAAAAAAAGGTATGTAAAGAGCTAGGGTCTACAGAATAAGAAACAGAGAAACTTTCACCATTCATAATAAGCAACTCCTAAAAAAAAATAAAAAAAAATAATAAGCAACTCCTCCATATCATATGGTACTTGATTTATTTCCATGGGTTCTTTTTTTTTTTTTTTTTTAACTATAAGTGAGAATAAAATCTTTTAAGGAGCATTTTAGCTTAAAAAATAAATTGTTGAGGAAACTAGTCAGATCTAGTAATCTCCACATCTAGTAATTGTATTGTCATATTAGTTAAAGATAGTCACCAAAGGATGTCAATGCAGTTACCATTTATAAATTTATAAATACTGTATTCATCATTTGCCACACAAACAAAGATGTTTTATGTGAAAGTTCCCTTCTCTGCTTCATAAGCTCTCTGCCCTCAATTCAAAAAAAAAAAAAAAAAAATACTTGAAGGTTTATTAAAGGGCATGGCTCTGGGGTCTGTCTTAACAAGGACTACAAGGGCTGAAGGCAAGTGGTTTTAAATAGCGTTATCTTCCAGGGTAAATATTAAAGAATCTGGGATAACAAGCATAAATGGTGGGGTTAAAATTTGCATTCCCCAAACTTTAGTCTCCTTCAACTGCATTTCCACATGAATTTATTTTCAATGGCAGCATGACATTAAACTCAGTACTCAGTTTTGAAGGTGGAAGTTGAGATTGTCTAAAAGGAAAACATTTCTATTTAAAAGTAGGCTCATTATCTAAAACATACAGCTTTAGTAAACTGTATATTTTCAAAGAGTAGCACTATTTATTACTGAAAGTTGCGCTTTGAAACCTTTCTTACAAATTGCAACCATAAAGTTGGGCAGGTCCAAATTTACAGTTTTATTGACTCGAAGTACCACATGTCTCAGCATTTACTTTATCCCATGATGTAAAATCACCTTTACAGATTTCAAATACAAAGGCACGAGATGTACTGTAATTGCTTTGTTCTCGGGTGGTCTGAGCACAGCAGAGGGAGAGGATGCCCTATCTCTTCATCAGGCTAAGATTTGCTAGGCATTAAAACCCTGGCTCCTCGCAGGAAGCAGCTTTGCTAATCTGAGTATTTTAGAAATGAGTTATGTGGTCCCCTCTAGGAAATATGAATAGCTATGCAATCTCTCAAAAACCTCGACAGTACTCAGAACTCTTGAATAAGCAGAGAAGGGAGGCTGCAGCTGAGCTTAATGGGGTCTAAATTGCGTGGCGCGCAGGTCCCGGGGAGTCTGAATTTATTCAGGTGCAGAGCAAGGATGAAAAATCTAATTGAATAGAGTGCCCGGAACCCCAGGGGACCCTGCTATATCAAAGATAGGAGTTATAAAGCAGAGGTGTGAGCTGAGTTTTCTCCACTGTGTCCTAATCCGCACCGGGAAACTCAGGTCTAGTCTTCCAAGCAATAAACTAAATCCAGACTTAACACCTGCAAAAAGAGGGAGGGGTTGTTCAACATTAGGGTCTCAGTCCACACTCTGGTACTGGAGTCACAAAGCAAGGTACCTTTCGTCCCATTTCTCTGGCGAGTCAACATGGTTGGTTGTTTTTTATTTTTTGTTTTTGTTTTTTAATGAATACCATGCACCAAGCAGTGGTGTAATGACCTTTCGTGCCCGCATACGCGCGCGCGCACACACACACGCCCCACTGTAGGAACCTGACAAATACATAAAGAATTATTTCCTGGAAAAGCAAATTATTTGACAATATGATAAATCGACTTTATCTTGATCATATTGGATGTTGGAATTTGTGGCAGGGGGCTTTCAAGTTTTCAGTTGCTAGGAAGGTATTTTAGGCTTTCACCCAGGTCCAAGGGAAAATCACAGTGATGGAGCAGAGAAAGTGCCATACTTATGAACCTTCCTGTCTGTTCTAAGCTACCTCAGTCAAAAGACTACAGGGGAAAAAGTCTCATTTTAGTGTGTGTAGACTGCTGCTTTAATCCGGCTTTCTGCAAACCGATCCATGCAAACACTTAGTGAGAGGCAGAAAACAAAAAAATCCCTCCTGAGATGGGGGTAGAGCTCTGTCCAGAGCCAACCGCAGCATCTGAGGAGGGGCTGCTGACACATCTTTTGTGTCCCAGACTAAGATTCAGGCTGGAGAAGAAGCTGGAGCAGTGCGCTCCTTCTGGGTGCGCAGAAAAGCCCGCGGGTGGGGGTGGGGGAGCTGCAAAACCGTTAGCTCACTTTTTTTTTTCCATCTTCGCAAAGGTCTCTTTTCTCTTCTCTTCCTGTCCAACTATTTCAAATTTCCGCGCCTTAAATAACAGTCTCCTTGTATTTAGTTAGTTTCCTCAGCAGGCTGGTCTTTACCCCTCTATGCACCCGGTGCTCCTCTTGCCCCTCCGTGCTCCAGCAGCCCCCACATCACCCCGGGCCCAGCGCTCTGCGCGGAGCGTGCCCTGTGCGAGCCACAGTCCCGGCTCGCCGCGACCTCATTTGACCTGGGTGTTCGGGCACCCGGAGTCACCCAGGCCGCCCCCAGTCCGGACGGGAGCCGGCCAGTCTCCCATCCCAACTTAACTCCCCAGCTTTAGGAGCTCGTCCCGCTCGGGGCTTGGAAGCCCGCAGCCCTGCGGCGCCAAAAGGCCAGGGGCGGGAGGGGAGCGGCGGAGGAGGCCGGTGGCCGCAGTTCGCGCCAGCCCCCAGCCTCGGGTAACCTTGAAGGCGTCCTCGAGTGAGTGCGTGCGCGGCGGCTGTGGAGAGCTGGGCAGGAGGCGGGAGCGGGGAAGGGGGAGCCGGCCCCAGCGCCCTGGGAGTTGTGGGCGACCCCCACAGCCAACTCCGGGTGCTGGCCCTCGGGCAGCCATCAGGCTGGAAGGTGCTGGCCCCCGGGCTGTGGCCGGAGGGCGGCGCGCGAGCTGGGGCGAGCAGGCCGGTGAGCGCCGGGCTCTCCGCGGAGGTGAGCTAGTGGCCCGAGCCACAGGCGGGCTGCAGCCACTCGGAGCTCCACGCCAAAGCCGGCGCTCCCCTCCTCCGCTGGCGATGACAGTTGAGGACAGCCGGGTTCCCAGCCTGGCTAAGAGGCAAATTCTTCTCTGGCTTCTTAGCCTCTTGGACTATTCGCAAAATTGCCCCATGGTTTTGCTTTTCCTCCGTAATTTACTAGACAACCGGAACCGAAAATGCACGTTCATCCAGGAAGACCCCAGTCTGAACAGTGAAATGTTCAGAGCTGGGGTGTGCAGAAAAACACCTAGGCGTCTTAATTTTTTTTCCTTTCAATCTTCAGCGATGCCTCAAAAGAATCACCCTCCTTTCTCAGCCTCCCAGATCTGGATATTGACTTGGTAAATGAAAGTTCCTGTGAAATATTTTGTCGTCTGTGTAGGAGCATTATGTGGACTTTATGTGTTAAGATGTGGTTTTGGAATTTTCTGTGTTGTCTTTAATTTTCACCAGACATTTAAACAACAACAACAAACCCAGCTTGGTAACGGCCGCCGGCAAGTGAGCAAAGGTTATCCTGCTACCACACACAGCACCTGCAAAAGCACAAGTGGAATTCACATATTTTGCTTCCCATGTTCTAAAATGGATTCTGAACCGTCCAGAGAAACCAGCACATAGAAACAGGGGGACCTGAGATGAAAGAGATTGTTCATTTTTAAAATTACACAGGTACTATACTAAAACTATTTCACCTAGCCTCTGTGTGTCTCACTGATCAAGGCAGAATTTTAGCTTAGGCCTACTCAGTAATTTTATATACAGCCCCTTTTTCTTCCCTCACACCCCACTCCCCAAATATATATATCAGCCAAAAACAGCAGCTCTTTGGGAGAGGAAGTAAGCCACCAATCTCTATACAAATACACTTCATTTCTTCTGAGGACTAAGAAGAAATCCTGCTTCCAACCAGGCCAGAGCTAGGGAAGAACTAACTTACCAGAAACTCAAACACTTAATTGGTATAATTAAAGTGATACTGTCTCTTAACATGAAAATAATGGATAGTTTCTGAAGCTGCTAAGTAAAACCTCGGAAATATTTGGACCCAAAGGCTTCTGCTTTCAATATTTCATCAGTACAGCAAGTCCCTCAGAAAAACCTAGAACTTGATCTTAACCATGTAGAGAGTAGTATCAAGTTGACAGATTTTATTTCTATGCCTTTGGTTTTTCAAATTAGTTACATAAATAGTGGAAGTTACATATAAAGGCAAAATGTCCCAAGATCTTTTGATGTCAGATTTTTAACTAAGAAGAGCAACCAAAAAATTATCAACCATAATAAAATACTATCCACTCCCCCATTTCTTCTCAGTATAGTTTGTACTCTGGCTGGGAAAAGGTCT